CGGCCCCTTTTCCTAGCCGGTCAACGCCTCCAGCCGTCCAGAGCGCCTTTGTCTCCTTCCTAGAGCCACTGGCTGATGGGGCAGCGGGGGACGCGGACCCCGGCGCTGCGGTCCGCCAGGAGCGGCGCGGCCGGTGTGTCCCGGCTGCGAGGGCCACGGCAGCCGTGAGTTCCCAAGGTCACAGAGGCCTCGGTGAGCCGTGAAACCGCTCCCCACCACCCACACCTGGCCCTCGGCCCCGAGCGAAAAGTTGCTGCTGGTTCACGTGGGCCGATGAGGTCCGGTGTCCAGCGGGTGAGAAAGAGCAGCACCCTTCGTGTGGTCCCTGCCAGCGGGGTGAGCTGGAGACCTGTCTGGACAGCTGGAACTGTAGTGCATGCAGGTCTGCTTGCTGGCAAATGGTGGGGCTGGGCTGGTTCTTTCTTCAGGGTAATGTTGAAGATGGCTACAGGACCCCCTGTTCTCACACACTCATAGAACCATGGAATAGACCAGGCTGGAAGGGTGCTGGAAAGATCATTGGTCCAACTTTTGTGGGAGGGAGCATAGATGAGATTATCGAGCACCCTGTCCAGTGGCAGCTTGGAAATCTCCCCTGACAGGGACTCTACCACCACATCCCTGTGTTTCAGTCGTTGGTTGCTCTCTCAGTCAGAAAATTCATGTTGTTCCTTGTCTTCTCCATGCAGTATTTGGTGAGGAGAGCCTCCACCCTCTTTGTAGCACTCTGGTATATTGAGCTTAGCCCCCTGCCTCCAAGCTCTCTCTCCCCTAGGGAGATAAGATGTAACTCCTTCCGTCTTTCCTGGCAGGGCAGGTTGTCCTCCCCACCCAGTTTAGTGATATCAGCAACCCTGGGTGAAGCTGCTTTCAAATCTATCACCCAAATCCATGTGAAGATGGACAGCGTGGAGCCCAGCAACAATCTCAGGGAAACCTCACTTGCAGCAGGCTGCCACCCTGAGATAAAAACATTGATCAAGACCCTCTGAGTGCAGCCTGTTGGCCAGTTTTCTACCCATCTTGCTAACAACCTAACCAGTCTGTGTCTTGCCACTTAGTCCAAGAGAAGGCTTCCTCATCGGTGGAAGCAGAGTGAGATGACTTCCAATATTGTAAGTGGCTTACAGGACTTTCTAGCTGAATTCATTTCTGAGGCTGCCAAACCCAGAGGGCTGTGGAGTGGAACCCTGCTGGAAGTAGATCAATGGAGAATGGGTATAGGATTGCTTTTTCAGTTGAGCAGCCAAATAGGAGGGAGGGAAATAATCCAGAAGACAGCCAAAATATTATTTTCTTCTTTGCTCTGTGTGGGGGAAAAAACTCAACCCCCCACACTTGTACCAGATTAAATGTTGTTCAATCTGAAATGGTGCTTGTAAGCTTTCTAAGCTAGAAAGGAAAGCAAATGGTGTGCTGTTTACTCATTTTCAGTTATCCTGAAACACAGTAATAAAGGCATTCCTTCAAGAAGTTGGAGGAGGTTCAGTTTCCCATTCTGCCTGGCATGGTCTGAATTTGCATCTCTCAGATAGCTCATCTCATCATCTCCTCTGCAGGGACATACATCTGATTTAACTCAGCTTGCTGTGTTTCTCACCTTCTTGCTTTCTCTTTGGTCTTTGTTTTTTAATTTGTGTTTTCCTTTCAGTATTTCTTGTACCTATTTTTTATTTTTAACCAAAAAACGCTTGCAACTCTGAGAACAGACAGCCCACAGGGCTGGAGCTGTGCACACATCTCTCGTGGTTGAAGCAGTCAGTGAGGAACATGCCATCTGTGAACACGAAGCTTTCTTTTCTTGGCACTTCTTTCCAAACACACCACTGAAATTTCTGCTGTGGACAAAAATGTTTGCGTGCCAAATGACATTTCTAGTAAATTAGTTTTGTGTGATAGGGCTCTGGGATTTTAGCAGACAGTTCCACCATAACACTACAAAAAATAACAGCCTGAGAAATCACACAATGTACCAGAGTCAGAAAATGGCATTGGAACATTGCAATAATCAGATTTTCTTTAATAATTAAATTTTTTTTCCTGCTTGTTTTTAGAACTGCTTTTCTGAAAAATGAGGAAATGACATACTGTTTGACCAAATTCTTATTTACTCAGTGTTCCGTGGAACAGAAAAGTTTCACCCTGCTTCTGTGCAGCATATGGGCTCCAGTCACTGGGCAGAAGACCCTGCCTTGCTGACTTAGTACAGTATTTCATTATCCCACTGTGGAGATGTTAAGATATTTTAAATATTTAAGTTGTAACGTTGAGGCTTCCACACTCAGCTACTGTGAGCAGCCTTGGAGCAGACATTCCCTCTGTCTGTGCCTTGTGCACAGGAAAGGAGGGAGGCAATATGGAAATACACCCCAATTATGTAAGTTTGAGCATCTGACTCAGCAGAAGGATATCACTGTCATATTGCTTGTCAGACCTGCTTCTTTTGTGTAAAAAGAGAGAGAAAAAAAAAGATGCTAAAACTGCCTGAAATAGATCATTTCATACAATTTTTATTACCTGGAGCTGATAACAGAATTCATGGTTTCAGTCTGATACCTTCCAATCAGAATAACAATTAGTATTATTTGCTTACCACCAAGCAGTCAAGTACAACCACTTAATTGGTGGAAGGAAGAGAACAATGGCATGAAAAAATTTCCCCAAATCTGGTACAAATTTAAATCACATTATTATGCTCATAGTTTGGAAGAACATGTTGTTACTAGGATATTTTTGTCTCCTCTTCCTTTTGTGCCTTGTCTTTCTTACATCCTTTACTGTGATTTAAATTACATCATTAGTTCACTGTGGCAGGGAATGTGTCTTACAAGGCTGAAGCATTACACTTGCAGGGTTTTTGTTGCTTCTTTGGAATTTAGTCTCAGCAGTGTAAGAAAGCAGTGCACTGATCATCCTCCTGTTGGAAGGTAACACTACCTCGATTGCAGAGGGATGGTGAAAACAGCAGCATACCTGGATTTTCTTTTCAATTTGTCCATGCTCTCCTCTAGGCTGGACAGCACTTACTGCTCCTTGCCACTTGCTGTTCCACATCAGACTCCAAACAAGTCTGAACTTAATTCTCTAAGTAAACTTGGTCTAGTGAGTACTTTTGGAAAAAAAAAAAATCCTTTGATTGTAACTGAAAAACATTATTTTTAAATGCTCCCATGCCAGGGGAAACCCAACTGCAGTCAGTCCAAGTACACGATCCATAAATTCCCAAAAACAAAACTAAGTGCCAAATAAAATTGCATTATCTGTGAAATCAGGTCGTAAGCATTCTAAATGATCCCTAAAAAAGTACATGGCTGGAATATATCTGGCCAAAAGCTGTCTGCACATCACTCTTCTGCCCCTGCAGCACAGTACAGCAGCTGCTCACCTCACGTGGCAGCTCTGCACTTTCCCTGAGGCAATGAAAAATACTCAGAAGAAAAGAAGGCAGCTTTACCAGCGGAAGGAAGAGCTGAGGAGTTGCTCTGGGCACAGCCTGGGTGAGTGAGAGGAAAGCAAAGCCTGAGCACCCCTTTGCTACCTCAGCACAGCCTGCTCGGTACACCCAGGGAGGCTGAAGCCCCACGAGAAAATGGATCAATGGCTGTAAAATAAAAGTCCTTATCACAACAAGTGAGGCACGAGAAGACAAAATCAGTCTGCTTTTGCAACTTCTACTTGGCATTTTACATTATGTGTATTTTTGACTTTGCATGCTTTGTTCCTTTTCTTTGTTGTATACAGGGTGTGTGATTACCCTCTGTTAAAAGGATAACAAAGCAATCTGACGGGTTATCCTGTGGGATTTTTCAGATCCCACTGTGAATGCAGCAGAGATAGAGCAGCAGACAAGAATCACTCCACTTGTTTGCACTAGTGCAGCCACAGCAAAGATAAAAGTCCCAGTGTTACAGCTTTTACCCAGGTATGGGGCCCCTCGGTAGGTGGTGGTTGTTTTTTTTACCTTTATGGTTTCTTTGGTTACCAGCATTCCTGCTGGGATGGACAGTGTAACCAGACAGTCTAGTCAGTACTTCCTCTCTCTGGTTCATACCACTTTTCTCTGCATAAACACTAGACACCATTTGTTGCTCAAGACACTGCAATAGCACTTTCACATCCCCATCCAGGGGTGGCTTTGCTTCTTTAGAGCTGTAGAATAAAATTACTGCAGTTCTGCAATGCCTTCCTTTTGCTGGCAGGTTGCTGAATTGTCGGCATATTTGGAAGAGATGGATGTCTCCAGTGACATATGGATGTGCTGCACACATTGCCTGTGCCCTGTGTAAGGCTGAGTGCTCAGAAGAAGCCCAGACAGCTTCCTTGCCCTGCCTGGCTCAGGAAACGTGGACACAGAGCCATGAGGAATGAGCAGGACATTGGGGTGATGGAGAGAAAAGAGGACTGACCCACATGGCTACCTGTCTCTGTAATGCTCTCAGGACTGTTCTCACAAAATAACCCTGGGGCAACTTGTCTTGCTGAGGAAGCCAAAAGCCTTCTGATCCCACAAACCATGCCCTTTGCCAGCTCGGACTTTGCTTACACCCTGAACTGCCATCTGTGAGGACAGTTGTATCCCAGCCTGTCCTCCTTAAAACAGCTGCTCCATTTTAAAGAGATTTTGGAAGCATTTTTTTGTTCCTGAGTGTTGCACCCCAGAGGAGGAAGGGGTAACAATTCTGTATTTATATTAGGCAACAATTCCTAAAAATTATCAGTGCTCAATTACTGAAGCAGGGGGTTGCTTCTCAGAATCACCGTTTGGCAAGCACCCATGAAGAAGAGCTACCAGAGCTACCGGAAAGGGTATGATTGACTAAAATAGTAATTTAATTGATGTCTGGTGGTTTGTATTTTGCTCTTTGATGGTGAAAATTCAACTGAAGCATAAAGCTCAGTGCTAAAGCAAGAGAATTTATGGGAGCCAGGTGCTTTCCTACGAGTCTTTCCAATTTCTAATCTTGATCTCTGTCATTCATCCTCTTTCCATTCAGGATGGAGGAGAAGTACTGGACTACTTTGCTTGCTGTGGTAGGAACACAAACTGGTGATGGATTTTGATCTGACTGGTATGCAAGGATGTCTGCATGGTGAGTCTGGGTACAGTACGGAGGTTTCCCCACTTTTGTGCTGGCTGGAGATGCACCACCCCAGAGCACAAACTTGTCTTTGCTTGGGTTCCCTGAGTGGTTTAATGCACATTACACAGCGTGAATACTTTGAAGACCGAAGCAGTTCTGCTTACTAATGTCCTCGTGCTTCACGTGGTACACGAGGATTGGTTCTATTGATTAGCACTAAAATGTTGTCTGCCTATTTTTGCCTATTCCAAAGAAGCTTCTGCTGACTAAAGTCAAACAACAAATTTTGTACCATTCCACCCACTAGCTGCAATAGCCTTGATGTAAATCCCTTGGAATTTCCCTATGGCATTACTTTTGCCACCTGGACTCCCCGAGCCTGACACTAAGCACAAGTGTTTTGACTATAACAAAGGGGAAGAGTTCCCTAAGTATTGCTTCACAAGAAGGAAAAATAAAATAAAATAAAATAAAATAAAATAAAATAAAATAAAATAAAATAAAATAAAATAAAATAAAATAAAATAAAATAAAATAAAATAAAATAAAATAAAATAAAATAAAATAGTGATTCCCACTTGTTTGGCTTTGCTCTGACAGTGTCTGAACCTGTGACAATGACGTGGCTTCTGCTGCCAGCCACAGTTGACTGCACTCTGGTGGGGGTGGAGGATCAGGCTCAGTGAATTCTTGGTAGGTATCTCTGTGCACTCAGTTTTCTCTTGTGCAACTGCAACAGAATTCACCACCTGAGCTGTGCAGGACTACTCATTCAGCTGGCACAACCTCCGTGCCTGAGGAAGTGCTGTTCATAAAAATGAGGGTTGTGGAGCATCTTTGCTGCCTCTTCAGAGCCCCAGTGACTTGGCTAGGAAGTTGCATTTGATGAAGCATGTCCCTAAGGTGCCATTGACCCACTTATGTGGGTGACACTTCAGCTTTTCACACCCCAGGAGCATTCATGCATTGTCCAGCTGCTGCCACACATTTAGACAGGCTACCTGTCATATTGTAATGTAAGATAAGTCATTTTAATGGTGTATGGGAGAGCAAACTTTTGAGATTTTTTTTTTTTTTTTTTATCTTGTAGTGTCTTTGCTGGAGAAGAGTTGTGGCTGAGAAGAAATCATTGTTATGCCAACAAGAATACTTTTCTAGCACAAACAGTTTTTGCAGTAGAGAAAAGTTTTTGCAGCCTCCCTGCATTTTTAACATAGCTGCAGCTTTTGCTCTTAATATAACAAGACTTCCTAAAGCACATGTTCTAAGTCACTAGCAGCTCATTGCAAATGCCAAATATCAAATAATTCATAACAAAATTGACTCCCAAATTAAAGAAAAATTTAGTGGTCCAGAAATACTCTCATTAATCATTCTGTAGATCAATGGAAATCAAAAATTACGAATTAGTCCTGTCCTGTTCCTCCCCTAAGCCACGGCTTAAAAATCAGGAGTCATATTTTTGTGGTTAAATCAGTCTGAATTATTTTGTTCACTTTGTGGTAACTAGAGTCTGTATCTCATAGCTGGATCATGTTTTCAATTATGATTTAAAGTTCCCACAACATCTGCAGATTTCCTGTTTAAGGAAAGCCAAGATTCTCCCACACCTGACCCACTGTGGGTAAAGAAATGAATTTTGTTACTTTGCTAAAAGTGCAGGTGTTGGCAACTGTGAATACAGGTGGTATGTTTCAAAGAGGACAATAATCTACAGAATCAAGTAATACACTGGACTGATTGTGAAATTTTATCTTCACATGCCTTTGAGTTACTTTTTTGTTTCCTAAAGCATCTTGCCAGATAAATACTCTTTTTTTCCCCTTTGTATTTCAGATTTTGCATCCTAAATATTGCTTCTACTGCTGTGCTTCAGGGACAATTTTAAGTTCTTGGTACACCACAATCCTCCAGGACTAAAGATGAAGCTAAAAATTGTGATATAAAAGCAGAAAACAGCCTGAGAGGTTTATAAAAAGGCCATAGGAAACCCAGCTTTAGTTGCAGCAGTATTGTTAAATTCAAGCCTCAAACAGAAGAAACAGGTGGCCATGGGAAAGGGCCCTTTATCCAGCACTGCCTGGGGGGAGTGAGGATGCTCATGCAGCTCTTGGCTGCTTGAGCTCTGTTGGTACAGCACTGTGCTTCAGCTGCAGAGCTGTGCAGGCACAAAACCTGTGTGCATGCTGCGCCTAAATTGGGGAGGGGGTGGGGGGAAGATCTGCTCATCTACACATGGGAAGTAAGTTCTTATCACCTGCTGCCTGCAAGCCAAGCACATCCCCCTCACACATGAAGGCCCAGTTTTGCCCTGTGGTTTCCCCAAACACCCTCCTCCCTGCATCTCTGTGTAGCTGTTGCTCTAACAGGAACTGTTTTGCCTTCACAGCCTTTAGCAGATGATGCTCTAATCTCCCTTTGGCATCTCCCTGCCAGTTGCCAATGCAGCCATGTGCACATCTGAGAGCAAATTTTCTAGGACAGCACTGGGAGGTAAAATGCTTTCCCTATTTGTTTTCTCTCTGTTTTCATCCTAGCTCTTCCTGCTCCCTTCTCTGACCCCTTTTTTGTATCCTCCCCACCTTTTGCTGGCCTCTGAATGCAAAACCAAGCTGGTACTCATTGCTGGTGCTGGGACCTTTATGTAGGTCAACCGCTGTGAGTCAAGAGTCTGAGCTGCAGTCAACCTGCAGCTGTTTCATGATGCAGGAGGGTATTCAGGCTTATCACTTCTTGTGCCACTTTCCCCTGCCCCTCTTCTGCTTCCTTGGCAGATCCAGAAGTGCCATGCTGTGCCAGCCCACCTGGCTGCAAGCTGCACAGAAATCCCTGATTTGTCAGTCCAGGAGCCCAAAGTGACTGAAAGACCTTTCCAGAGCCACGAGCATGGGGTTTGTCCTACTGCTGGGAAATGCTTCTGCACAATGTCCTATCAAGCAGACATCCAGAGCTGCAGTTTAAAATGTCACTCAGAAATGTTCTGTGCCTGCAGATGGAAGGGGGGAGGTTGCCAGCTGTTTGGTTGCTCCAAAAGGCTGTTTTGTCCGCTGTGAGACCCCCTTGCCCTCTCCAAAGATGCAGGTCCAAACAGGAGTTACCTCACCAGAGTGAAAAATGTTGAACAATGCAGAGCTGCCCTCCTTGTCACGTTCCTGCTTGGCTTGCTTAGGCATTTTTGAAACTCCTCTAAGCCCCACACCCAGTGTTTTGTAGTGTCCTTAGCACTGAAAATCAGTCTCAGCATGAGCCTCAGTCTCTCTCTTACCAGCTTTCAGTAACAGTGAATGGAAAGCAAATCCAAATCTTCACTCCATCAGAAACCGCAGCTGCAAAGCTGCCCTATTGTTTCATGAGCTACTTTTATTTTTGAGCCTTCAGACCTGTGGAACATCCTCTGCAAAGGTTAAATTCGAAATTAGCTGCACAAGCATAGGGAGGAAAGTCTGTCTGTCAGCTTGCTTGAGAGTCCCCAACCCCCTGCAAAACAAAATGGAAGTGTCTCTGGTTCAAGGCAGCCTACACGGCAGCGAGCTGCAGGAGCTGTAAGCTATTATTTTAGATCCCAAGAAAAGTAATTACTATAGCAACCAACACATCCAAATGGCTCTTTGGCTGCTGCCGAGACACAAACAACTTGCACACAAAGGCACATCAGAAACGTGCTGTGTAAAATGTTCTCGGGTAGCTCTGTGTTTTCGAGGGCTCTATAAAATGTGCTTAACAGGCTTCTGAGAAATGACTGCCAGAGTAACAGCAAGCAATTGTGCCGTGCCACAATCCCAAAATAACCTAATCAATGGCTCAGTATATTTGCCCCTGAAGAGATGAAGCAAAAAAAAAAAAGCAGAGGCTCCATTTTAAGCCTATGTGCAGGGAAGTTCCCAGCAGAGCTGAAGATACATTCAATAAACAGACAATAAAATGGTGGGGGAGCGTCTCCGCTTTTGTTCTGCGTGCTGAGTCCAACTCCCTGCAGGCTTCACGTGCCAGCTTGTCCCCTCAGGCTTATACAGAGTGTTGGAAAACGGGATTTAATTACAGCCTTGTAATGCTGGAGGGTGTAAGAAGCAATGTCTGCCTTCTTTTCTGTGCCTGTGCAGCAACCAGCCCCCACAGACCATTTCTCCAGCTGCAGCGCTGGGCACATCGCTGCTGCTGCTACTGAACAAGGAAGTTTTTTGAGCAACAGCAAACTGTAGCTGTTGGCCGTTGCTAAAGTATTACAGAGTTTGGAGCATCTTTGTCACGTTCAAATCAAGATGCCACTAGTGTGATAACAGCTTAAGAACTCCTGGCCTCTTCCTGCAAAGCTGCACCACTTTGTGGTGCCAAAACAAACACCCTGTGTTCCCCAAAACAAGAGATCTGGTCCAAGCAACCTGGTCCAGGAGCACTGTCCAAAGTTTCCCCATAGGACACGCACATCACCTGTCTCAAGGATGGTGAGCAGCATTAACATCACTCCCCTGCTCCATTGCAGAAAGCAGCAGTGATGAAAATGGAGGTTATGGATCTGGGTAACTCCAAACAGAGTTGGATCCTATAAGTGAGCACAACACATCCCTTCAGAAACTTGAGTTGCCCTTTAAAATTATTTTCTTAATCAGCTGAGTCCTCAAGTCTTGCTCTGTGTTCAGAGTAAACTGAAAATCACAGCTGGATTTAACATAAAGACAAAATTAAGGAATGAAATGTAGTGATGTAATTTATTACAGAAGTGCCTTATGACCAAATTAAAAAATATCTCTTCACAGAGATGGAGTTTTGGTTGTAACCTTTTGAGCAAATTACTTTATTTTGGATTAAAGAAAAACATCAGAAAAAAAAAGCAAAATACTTTTGAAAAATATATTGAAAAAATAAAGTATTCCTACAAAAATAGCACAAGCATGTATAAAATCCAATGCTTCACTTCTATTGTGCAAAATGGTGGCTACCCTGCAGGCATCTGGAATTTCCAAACTTCTGATCCCAGAGAAATAAATTCTTCTCTCTGTAATTTTTCTCATAACAACCTTATTTTGTCATAGGAGTTGACTGTATGTTAAATGGCTCCCTCTCAAAAAAAACAAACCCAAAAAACCAAAAACCAAAACAAGCAACAGCAACAATAAAAAATATTTTCTTTTTCACAATGTGCCTTTTTACCAGCCTTGTGGTGGGGGAAGGACAAGACTGCTCACAGGTTGACTTCCCAGTTTGCCTTTTGTACTAAACAAAAATAGCTTTCCTGGTGTAGAGGAGCTGGGACCAGTGGGACCAGGCACACAACCTGCCTTCATGTCATACTTTTTCTATACCTCCTGTGATAAATCCTTGTTCCTCACAAGCATTTTGTGTTTTGGCTTGGGAAAGGCTGCTGCATTTTCAGTGAGAGAGAGGGCAGATAAGGGGTAGAGAGCTGATGCACTACCTGGCTGCTTGTGCAGAGCTGCAAGGCACAGAAGTGAAACCAAAGCCTCAGAGATGGATAGCGAGCTCTTCTGAGCACTCCCTGGCTGTGCCCTGCTGCAAGGAAAGAATGAAAGGAGCTTGCATTTGACCATTAGCCTAAGCAAATCTCAATGCCACAGGGAACAAGGCCCCAAAACCCCACTTATGGTGAAATCAGAAAGTAATTTGGACTTAGCATAAGAGTTTTTGGAGTAAAAAGTAAAAGTAAAAGTAAAAAAATTACTCTGGAGTATCCAGAGTAATTTGGATTAGCATAAGAGATCTGATGGCCAGGATGCCTTGGCAGGACCAAACAGAGCTTTGAAGATTGACTCAAGCCTGGCTACATGGAGAAGATTGAATCAAGAAATACACATTTGTTTGTATGTTTGTATGATGTTTAACTCAACCATTGTAGTAAAAAATTACTAGCTTTCCTAGAATGATATATAAGCTTATGTAGCCCACAGTAAAATCAGATTCTGATCACTGAGTCAGTTGTCCCTGTCTCTCTTCATCACCAATACCCACTTTCTTAAAAATAGGAATGACTGAAAAGAAAATCCAGTGTGGTGAGATGCTGAACAGGACTTGCTTGTATCCTGCCCTCCCCCTTGTCCACTTCCAGCAGCAGAGGGGCAGGATGCATGCAAAGGTGAGCCATGAGAAATCACCAAAGTCATGAAGCAGGACTCTTGGAATACCTTGCTCAGATCCTGAAGCTGACATTGCTCCTGACTGTTGCAGGGCTCAGGCTTGTGCAAGCTGGTATTTTCTAGTTTATCTGCCAGCTTGAAAATAGTGTGGCTGGTTCATGAACGGATTTGTCTCTGGTATTGCTTTTGCAACCACACAGCCTTAGATAGCCACGGGGGTTCAAGTGGTCTTGCATCTGTGAAGGGAGGTGAGAAAATCAGTGTTCATGACTGTTACATCAGACAAAGAGTTGGATCTGGAATTCTCTGGTGTGAATCAGAGAAGTAAATCAAAATGTCAGCTCCTCTTGTGTTAAAAATCCCACAGCTTAATGAAATCTTGTCTTTTTCAGAGCAGAAATTATTCCTATGTCTGGAGAAGTGCATTAAGAGAGAGATGTTGAGGGAGCTGAGGTGCTAAGGAGTGAACTTCTGGGAATGCTCTGCACACGAAAACACTCCATGAATCAGTTACAAGTAGGACTGGCCTTTCATCCATCCATCAGGAGCCTTCCTCGCTCCAAAATTTGGGCTGCTCTCTATCCTGTCTCATATAGGAGGTGATATTGATGAGCAGAAAAAGGTATGTTTGCTTCAAATGTTGTTTTTGGATAGAGAGCATGGGTTGTGAAGGTGCAGAAGGAAACACAGGAACTGCCATCACTGACAAAGAAATGCAGATTTCCAAACCATCTCTGCCCAGCCCCAGGTGGGAGGTTTTGTTTCTGTGTTGGCTTGGAATTTGTAGTTGGTCTTGTCAAAAGATGATGCCTGTGTTGGAAATTAATATTTAGCAACTTCTGGTTGACTGATTGAAGGTTTTTTTTGGTGGGAGTTATTGGTTCTTTGAACAAATTTTGAAAAAGGGCCCTCATAGGAGTGCAACCATATCAAATTATAGGGAGGTGCTCTTGTGCCTTGCACTTGAGCCTTGCCAAGAGAGGTCAAAAATGTGCACATACATTACTGAAATGTTGCGGGGGTTTCCCCTGCAGACTGAAAACATCTGCAAAGACAGGCAGAAGGTATTTCAAAAGATGATGATTTTAATGAACTTTGGGTCAGAGCCACATCTTTGATAACAGCAGCACCCCGGCCAGCAAATGCCCTGAGCCTGATTTACAGCACCATCAGCAGGCTCTGCCTTGTGCCTCCTGTGGAGAGGCTAAGGGAGGGCACAAGGGGAGAAAACACCATTTTATCATGCCATGCTTTGCACGGGCCGTGACAGTCGTGTCCGTGTGATGGAAGTGGGGGAGAGGAGCTGCTGGCGGCCGTGCTTCGGCCCCCGAATTTGAGAGCTGGCGGCTGCGCTGCCGGCCCGCAACCTCGCTCCCTCCCTCCGGCATCCTCCCCGCTGCCCCCCGGCATCCTTCCCGCTGCCCCCGGCATCCTCCCGCTGGTCCCGGCATCCTTCCCGCTGCCCCCGGCATCCTCCCCGCTGCCCCGGCATCTTTCCCGCTGCCCCCCGGTATCCTTCCCGCTGCCCCCCGGCATCCTCCCTGCTGCCCCGGCCACCTCCCGGAGGCTGCTGCCCCTCGGGGACAGCCCCGGGATGCCCGGCGCTCCGCTCCGCCGGGCACGGCGCGGCTCCGCCCCGCACGGAGGCGGCCGAGGGTTGTTCTGGCTGCCCTTTGGAGCTGGGAGTGCTCCGCTCCTGCCGCCATTGCTTCTCCGTCCTGAGCGTCCTTCCCGGGCAGGGCTGCTACTCCCGCCGGGTTTTAGGGAGCGATGACAACCGTGAGGAGAGAGGCGTTCGGGCGGATGCCCCCGGAGGAGGGAGGCGGAGAGGTGGAGAAGTTCGTCTTGCAGTCGGACAGCGTGAGAGTGGAGATCCTGTCTTTTGGGTGCATCATCACCACTCTGGAGACAAAAGACAGGGATGGGCAGTTTTCAGATGTTGTCCTAGGATTTGACACTTTAGAAGGTGGGTTCTTTGTTTCTTTGGAAAAAAATAAAATTTACAAGAACCACAATCAGGCAATTTAACCAGCACTTACTGGTTTATTGCAACACTGCATGACCTGCTTGTAAGGCCCGCTCCCCTCTCCCCCAAATCATGGGCTGAAGAGATACAGTTGCTGCTGCCTCTCCTGGGCTCAGTGGTGGATGTGGAACAGGGACACTGGTGGCAGTGTGCCACTCTGCTTGGGCAGCTCTAAATCAATCCTTGACTGGCAGAGACAGAGACCTTTTCTTCGAATCTGCAAAGAATACAAGATCCCATCAGGCTGTGTTAATCAAAGATGCACACAATTAATGAGCTGTGTGTCCTGTGAAACGCTGGGACTGCAATCACCTATTAAGTCCTGGAGGAAGCAGAGAGAGACAGCTCTGAGTCCACGAGCACTCCTGGAGACCGCCTGTCGTGTTCCACTGGTTCTGTTTAACCGTGTGCTGTTTCTCTGGCCAGGTTACACGAGGAAGCACCCGTTCTTCGGTGCTGTCGTGGGCCGTGTTGCCAACAGGATTGCCAACGGGAGGTTCAGCCTGGACGGGAAGGAGTATCAGCTGTTCCTCAACAACGGGCCCAACAGCCTGCACGGAGGAGCCAAGGGATTTGACAAGGTGAAAATCCCAGTGTCTTGCCAGCATACAGCCTGTGGGGTTATGGCAAGAGGGTGTGGTGTCTACACCCCTGGACCCTGTAGCATTTTCTGGTGGTTACTGAGTTGAATCAGCTCAGAAAGTGCTATGAGTGCAGAAACAGGAGGAAGTGAGACTGCGAGCTGCTGGCTTGTCTTTGCTTGAGTGTGCAGGCCTCACTTATGTCATCCTTGGATGCCGAGCAGAGGATTGCTGTGCTTCCTCTGTGTGACTGCAGCCCTGAGCCTCATTAGCCCAGTTCTGACAAGGTTGTTCTGGGCAAGGTGCTGCTTCTGCAGAGCCTGGGTTGGGGTATGGCGGTGAGGACCCAGCCCCAGGAGCAATGGAGGCTTCCCAAGCACCAGCATCCTGGAGTGTGTCATGGAGTTGTGCCAGGGGCCAGAGAAAGTTTCCTGGGGAACAGTGGTCTGTCCAGCAGACTCATTTCCACCTGCAGTTTCATGGCTGTTACCTGCCCATAGCTCCTCCCAGAGTTAGGAGGATATGAGTTTGCAGAAACCTATCCTTGTTGCTTGCTTGTGACAGCACTGCCAAGTAAGGGGAGAGCAGGGTGGTGCTGCAGGTTCAGTCATTGTATTGCCCCCTTTGGTGCCGCTTTCATCCTGTGACAGCATCCCCCAGGCTCTCACTCTGACTCACAGCAGTGGGGGATTAGATCAGGCCTGCAAAATGCCCCAGGATCCAGGATCACTGCTTCTCTTTCCCAGCCCTGCCCTATGACCTCCTGAGATGAAACAACCTTTCCCTGGCCCCAGGGCACTCAACCTTTTCCCTCTCTTCCTAAGAGCTGCTGCTCAAGTCAGTTATTTGTGACACAAGTGGTAAGAGCAGTGGAGGATCTCTTCTCTTGAAAGCCTTGCTAACAACCCTGCTCGACTGCAGAGCAGGCCCAGAAGTCTCTGTTTCTCTGAATCCTTGGCCTTTGTTGGATCAAGTGCATTTGTAACCAGCAAGTCAGATCCACCATTTCCCCCCAAGAACACGTAGATGTGCTGGTGTAGCTGCTTTCCTGGGGTTAATGGGGTTTTTGGTGAAAGGAATCCAGGCTAATGGGAAAAAAGCCAGGATGCCTGAAAAAAAAAACAAAAACAGAGTGTGAACTGGCATGAGGTTGGGATGAAATGCTCCTCAGCAGCCTTAGAAAAAAGGGAGTACTGAGGATGGCTTGGCTGTTGTACCCACAAAGAGGACAGTTTGGTGGGTTTAAAGTTTCTTTATACACCCTGATACCTGTGATCTGGAGCTGAAAACATGTATTTATTCACACCCAGGGCTTCCAGGCTGTCTTCTGCAGGCAGGGGATGTGGTCTCTTCTTCTGCTTCTTCACCTTGCTTGCTGAAATCTCATCAGCTTCCTGGGGACAAGGCAGTGACATCTCCCAGCCAGAGCTTTGTGTCCTCTGGCCCACAGGGCATACTTGGACACCTGCCTAAGATCTCCTCCAGCCAGGAAACAATCACTGTTCAATGACACTGAGCCCTAACTGGTCAGCCCTAACAAAAAACAGACACTGGAATTTGGCTGTGATTATCTTTGTCATCTTCTGAGCTTTTCCTGATCTTGCAGACGTCAGTGCTGCGGTCAGTGCGTGGTCTGATGAGAGCAGCTTGCAGCTGCACCTTCAGGGCAGTAGTCACCACACTGCTGGAGGACTGCAGAAAATAACTCTCTTATCTTAGAAAAAAATAGTGATACCTGTATGTTTCCTGGTCTTTATCAGCTTTTTCTTCAAAGAACTTAAATAGAAACTCGTGTTTTAAAAACCGCAGCATCCTTGCAGCCGTGGGAGCTGCAGTCGAACTGCACACTGTGCAGGAGGACCTACTCTGCAGCCAGGTGTATTTGGTGCCCTCAGGTTCTGTGTTTGGTGAAAATGCTGGCTTTTTGACCATGCCCCATGTTGGTGACCTCTGTGTAGAACATGAGAGGGATCAACTCAACAGAGTTATCCAACCCCTGTTCCTAAATTTGTCCATTTTGATTAGACAGTAATTATTTCTTAGGGAAATGTGAAGCTCCAGAGAGCCTCTTGTTGCACATCCAACTTCTCAGCACAAGGCCCATGGCCAGGGCCAAACAGGCTGTGTGGGCAGCTGTGTACAGTGTGCTGGCTTGCTTCTCTTGCCAGCATGTTTGGCTCCAAGCAGAGCACTGGTGCTGGTGTCTGGCAGGGAGAAGAACTGGAGAGGTCCCAGCTCTCTGGATGTGTCTGACAGCACATCTGGAACCATTTAACCCAACCCCAGCCCCTGAGCAGGAGCTCCCAGTGTGTTCTTACACTGTCCTAGAAGCCAGCACCTGTGAGCAGAGGAGAGCAGCTTGTTGAAGTGGTGTTGCAAGTGAGAAGATCCATGGAAAGGGGCATTAGTCCAGCTGAAGGGCAAAAATACTCAAGCATGGCATAACATAGGCTGGAACAGACCCCCCCATCAGACTGCCAAATTGCCTCGGTTTTTTGGCTGCTCATTGTAAAGCTTGTTCCCTGCTGGTGGTCCTGGCTGACCAAGGGCAGGCTGGTGCTTGTGTTTTCTTTGGAAAGGTGATTGAAAAAGCCATTGTTGCAGCACAGCATCCCTTGGGTGCCTTCTGTCCCTGTTTTTAGCCCAGCCTGGGGCAGGAGGGAAGGGCACTGTGTTCCCATTCTTGTCCCACTTACACCGTGCTCCTTGCAGGTTCTCTGGAGCCCCCAGGTGCTCCCGAATGGTGTCCGCTTCTTCCGGCTCAGCCCCGACGGCGAGGAAGGCTACCCTGGTGACCTGAAAGTCTGGGTGACCTACACCCTCAGTGGCAGGGAGCTGGCCATCAACTACCAGGCCCAGACCAGCAAGACAACCCCCATCAGCCTGACAAACCACGCTTACTTCAACCTGGCAGGGCAGGTAAATGTGGGGAGATGGGCCCCGTGGAGACGCGCTGTGCAGGGGAAGAAAGCCTGGGGACCCAGCCTGGGATGATCATCAGGACCAGCATGCTGGTCTGGGGATACATCATGGTTTTGGGGACACAGCAGTGAGGGTTGTCTCTGTGCATCATGGGCTGTGTGCAGGAGCAGGACTGAATCACATGGACCTCAGCTGAGGATACATTGTCTCAGTGCTTCTTGAACAGAAACATCCAGCTGAGCATGTTGGTTCTCCTTTTATGCGTAACTGGGCAGTTTTGTGCTCTCCTGGTACCTTGGGAAGATTTCAGAGGAGGTGCAGAGCTGGCATACCCTAGTGATATCCTGACATTTCTTAGTTTCTTAGTATTCTGTTGGCATTTCTGAGATGGTGATGCCGGTTGAGATCAGGGCCTGGAGTGGCAGCACGAAAGGTCAAAATAGGCAGAAGAAACATGGAAAGGGGATGTGAGATAGCCAGGATTGCAGACTAGCAAGGTTGCAGCAGCAGGATGCAGAGGGCTCCCACACATGCAGGGTTTTGTCAACCACATGGACAGTGAATTGCAGCTGTGTTTTAATCTCACACGGTTTATAACTGGGTTTGGAAAAGGATCTGAGAAATAAAGTGTTGCTGGGCAGAGCAATAGGACAGTGCAGTCACACTTGCATGTGAGACAAAGGCCCTTAAAAGAGTTTGTGAGAGACAACCCAGCCCCTATGAGGAGCTGTGCCCAAGCTGCTGCCCTGAGAATGGCTGTGCAGTTGTTGGTGTACCCTCCTGCTGGTGCTCCCAGAGGTGCAGTAATACCAACACCTGCAGTGTGCAGCTCAGGCATATTCCAGAGGAACAGGAGACCTTTGGGCATGAAATTGCTGCTCAGATTAGATAGTGACCTGAGGGCTCAGCTTTGAGCCTGCTCCCCTTCCAGCCCAGCAGGTTCCCTGCCAGCATTCCTGAGGCTGTGGGAGAGGAGGAGGAGGACACCCCCACAGCGGTTCCGATGAGACGGGAGGATGGGTTGCATTTCCCCCTGCTTGCTTCCTTCCCCTTCTCCCTGCTGCTGTGTGCTCAGTACCCAGCATATTTTGGCTAGTCAGTCTGAGGGTGTAGCATTCAGTGAGGTACAAGTACAGACTGATGGTCTCATCCCTGTGGGATTTACAGCTTCTAGAGTCCATGAAAGTTTTTGTATGTGCCAGTACCTTTGTCCTGTGCCCAAGGTCAAGGTAGAATGAGAGCCAGGAGATGCTCCAGGCACTACCAGATCAGCTGGAGCACCACTGTGGACTGACACTTCGCAGCTGTGCTTAGGGTTGCTTGAACAGTGGCTGCAACAGTAATCCCAGCATTTCCCATCCTCCTGCAGGGCTCTCGGGATGTGTATGACCACGAGATCTCCATTGAAGCAGATTCCTACCTGCCTGTGGATGACACCAAGATCCCTACTGGTGGGTGGTGCATCACTTGTGGCACCAGGTGGAAGGGATCTTTCTGAGCAATGTTGGTGGGTGTGAGGAGCAGCACGGCCTGGCAAGGGGGACACATGAGCACCCAGGGGACCCCAGGCACAGCAGGGCCCTCACCTTTGGGTGCAGACCCACTGCACCTTAGCAGGGAGGGCAGAGCCAGGTGCTGGTAACCTGGTCCATCATCAGCCCCAGGGAGCAGGCAGGAGCAGCAGGAAATGGGGCCAGAGACACATGGGCTGTGAGGCTGTTGTGTGGGTTCATCCAGGAGACAAGCTCCCCATGGCACCTGGAGGGTGGATTCCCTGGTCCAGGTGGTTTCTGTTCAGCTCAGTGTGCCATGCTTGTGCACTAACAGGGGAAGAGCTCAAGGCCATACCCAGCCCAGTGCCCCGCTTCCCCCTGCTGCTTTCACCATGCAGCTGTTTCTCGTCTTAGCTGTGGCCAGCTTGCTACTGCCTCTTGCAGTTCCTTCTTGTGTGGGTAGTCTTAGTCCTGGGGTGGAGATAAGATTTGTGGAACAGTTAAAGACAGACCCCTTGTGTGCAGTGTCTACAGTATTTTATGTAAGTGCCTCAATTGGAATGGTTTCATTACTTTTTTTTTCATGCTGTTTATTCTGCCCTCCATGCAAAACCCCTCACCTTTGGGTTGGGGTAACTGTTTTGCACTGTGTTTGTTTAGTATGTCCTGAGGTTGGTTGTGCTGCTTTATCACAGGACACTGTATGCCCACAGCAGTCTTAGATAAGAGAGAAAATTCTGGGTTTGTACATGTACAAACTTCCATGTGTTTTCTTGCTCCTTATCTGTGGCTTTGTCCCTGCTAGAGCAGCAGTGTCCCCAGGAGCTGCCAGTTGTGCTGGGGGACAAGGTAGGGTTTGCTGGCATGTGGGTGAGTAGCTGAGGCTGCTGTTCTTGCTTAGGGGAGGTGGCTGCTGTGCAGGGCACTGGATTTGATCTCCGGCAGCCCGTGGAGCTGGGCAAGCACTTGCAGAAGTTTCACCTGGATGGCTTCGACCATAACTTCTGCTTGCATCAGGGGCAGGATCGACGCCTTGTGGCCAGGTAGGCTGGGACCTTGGCAGGAGTCCCCACCCCTGGAGCCAGGGAATGCCCATTCAGCCAGTTCCCTGTCATCCTCCACTGGCATCTCCGCAGGGTTTTCCACCCTCCCACCGGCAGGACCATGGAGGTTCACACCACCCAGCCTGGCATCCAGTTTTACACCGGGAACAACCTGGATGGCTCCCTGAAGGGCAAAGGTGCTGCCACGTACCCCAAGCACTCAGCTTTCTGCCTGGAAACCCAGAACTGGCCTGATGCTGTTAACAAGGTGAGCTGTCCATTCCCCTCCCACAGATTACTTGGGTCCCATGGCAGGGGACATACCCCCACCACCCTCCATGTCTCTGGGGCACTGAATGCAGAAACAGAGTCTGCTTGTCAAGGGGACACTGCTGACACCAGAAGTGAGGCAGGCACAGGTGACAGTGGCTTTAAACAGGGGTCAGTCAGTGCAGCAGGGACTGGCCCTGTGCAGCCCAGCTTCCCAAAGGTGTGGGGTCTAGAGCAGATGACCCCACTGGGGCCTTGCCACATCCTCTTATACCTGAATCATTCCTCACGGCCTGAATTCAACCAGCAGTAGGACTCACCCACTCAGCCTGCTGGCAAGTGGTGGGTGATTACACACTGCTGCTGGAAATGGCTGGGGGGAGCTGTGGGAATATGCCCTGGGAAGAACAAAGGGATGCAGCCGTGCTTTCTGGTCCCACGGAATGTGCTCACAGCCACTGATGTGCTGCTCCCTCTCCCCAGCCTCACTTCCCCAATGTCCTGCTCCATCCGGGTGAGGAATACAACCACACGACATGGCTTGTGTTCAACACTGCTTGAGGAGAAGGGCTGCTGACTTCCACCACTGAAGGGTAAGTTCCTCCAGCAACTGAGCCAGAAATCCTGCCAGGTGCCAAACAGAGCTTTCCAACTACCCCTGGGTGATGCATCTGATCTGGGAGCCTTTTTCCTCTGTGGTTTTCATCTGTGGTTTCTGCTTGCTTTAACTCCTGTCACCATCTCTGCTGCTGTCTGGTCTGTACAAAGCTCTCACACTCTGTCCAGCCTCTCACCCTGGGCATTGGGTTTGTTTTGCAGTAAAAATGTTCTGAAAACACCTTGTTTAGGGGCATGATGTCACAGCTCCAACTACAGCGGGGGAATATCTGGTAATATTCATGTGGAGCATGTGGTAAGGCTGATGCAGTTGTGGTTGTTACAACATCTGCTATTTCCATCAACGTGCTCTCTCTAAGTGGTGTGCAGTGCTCATGCAGGATAGCTTTGAGGAGGACAGTGTGCTGGGATTATCCCAGCTGGCTGCCCTGGATGCTCTGGTCAAACTCCTATGTTCTGCCTTAGTTGCTGAAGTGGGCACACCTATTTAGTCCTGGATATACAGATGCAGGAGAAAACCCATCATCCTAACACTGTGTTTCCACGTGAGATCTCCAAAACCCTGTATCAGGCAGCTCTCTGATGAAAACCTCCATGTTTCTGAGGCTTCAGGAAAACTGGCACAAGCCAGGGGATGACAGCACCATCCTATTAGGGAGCTGATAGCCCACCCCCCAGGGAAGCAGGTAGACAGTCCTTGCATCAGGCACCATGTCCCACCTTCTCCTGCCATGCTGCTGCACCCAGGGCCTGCAGCACTTCACCATGCTTCCTCAGCTGCAGAGATGCAGGACTGCCCTTGCCCACCATACTGGAGACCCCAAACACACCTCCCTTGCCCCCCACCCCCAGCCAGCCTCTTTGGGGTGTGTACACCATGCCCAGAGGCACAGCAGCACCAGCCACACGACACACCTGTGTCAGGGGATCTTTTTATCTTTTTCAACTGCTCACAAACTGTATCAAATTTGTGATGAAATCCTACCAAACTCAGGCCAGAGCTCAATTTTGGACAGCACAGCTGCACAGAAGCCACCTTTGTCACTGCTCCCCCTCTGCACCTTACAAGTGCTGGCTGTCCTTCAGGGTGGCTGTCTGCACCAACACAGCCTTGCTCCTTGCTCAGGTTCACATCTGGGTTTAGAGCAATCCCAGCCCCCACCAAGAAAAACCCCTGACTCTTCTGCTCAGTCCTCCAGTGTCTCTGGGTACTGAAAAACAGGTACTAGTAGAGCTGTCGTGTCAGTCTGCAGGTTTATTGTGGAGCAGGTTTCCCTTGAGAGTACAGAAAAGAAAAGGTGATGAAATTCCAGAGCAGTGGCGTACGTGTGCCTCTCACCAGGTACACAATGCACAACCAGTAAAATATTCCAAACATGTATCACAGGCTTCAGACATTTGGGCTACATCACTGCAGGGTAACATTTGTGTCAGCCCTGCTCTCCCACTGTGGCAGCAGCGGGATTCCGTAGGGCCAGAATCCACTGGGAACACCAATGGCCATGGTGAGCCCAAGAGGATCCAGGCACAGCGAGGACCAGGCATACAGGCCAGAGGATGCTGCAGCAGAACAGCACCTTCAGGATCTGGACTGTTGACTCATCCACTGGAAAAGCTCCATGCAGTCATTATTAACAGGAAATCTGTTTCTTGAAAACCATGTGTTACCCCAGGTCTAACAAAGTTCATCTTGTAACTTAAGCTGTTCTGCTGTGGTTTACACAGTGGAAGCAAACTGCCATGACAGATTTCATTGGAAGCCCAAACAGGCTTGGCTTTCCATTTCAATGCTTACTCACTGCTGAAACTGGTCTTTATTTCTGCTGGACAGCCAATCCCACCAAAATGGAAAGATGCTTTTCTCCCCTCTGCCTACCAGTTTTTTGTTCACAGTCCAATATTCTTGCCAGTCCCTTGCTGTGATCTGTGTTGAAGTGCTTTATCATGCAATTCCTTCATACAGAATGAGGACAGTTTGACACACCTATACACAAATAATGAGTCCTGCAGGTTGTGTATTTGCTGTAAGAAATTGGCATCATTCCACAAAGCCATCTCCAGGATATGGGCTGCCTTACAACCATACCAGTTTCTGTGAAGCAGTTTGGAACTCCTGAGGGCAGCTTAGAATCTTTAATTTTAAGGATCTTCCCTCAAAAAAGGAAAACACACCTTGAGATAGTCTAAAATCTTTATAATATAATATTTATATATATAATGATACATATTATATATTTTAAAATCTTTCTTTGTATCAGGAGCCTTAGGAATTAAAAAATGCAACATGTGGAAGTAGCAATTGTCAAGTTCTTAATGATTTCTATTACCTTTAGAGGTTTCTACAGATGTTATTTGTTTAAAAGATGTGTTTTGGAGGAAAGTTTATCCTTAGATTTTTGGGGCATCTGGTATCAACAGTCAAACACCAGAGAATGAGCTTTGCAGAATAAGAAAATCAGGCAGAAAAATGGATGCCCACTAAATATCAAGGAATGAAAAGGGCATATGCAGATTTTTATCCATCTGCAGACAAGAGATGGATTTTAAATTCCACTTCAAGGAGAGCAGGAACTGATCCTTTCACCAAAGACCATTCAACAGTAGATGTGAAAAGTGACTACCTTGAGAAGACACCAGCTGGGATTAGTGATTCCCATTTTAGACATTTTTCATCCACGTTACATGGCACACAGCTAAAATTACCCAAACGTTAATGGAAGCAGCAGGGTTACTACAGAGAAGTTTTAGTTAAAAATACACATTTTATTTCAATGTGCCAATAAAAAAGTCCCACATTTTCATATCACAGGAAGTTAATTCATACAATAAAAAGAGACCTGTGCTAGTCTATTGGTGTGACTAACTCAGAAGACCCAGATCATGCCAAATTTTAGTTGATATACTCTTCTATCTACATTCTTACATTTACAAAGACACCACAAAATCCCTTATAATAATGTAAGCAAAATATCTTTCTTCCTAAAAGATTAACTTCATAACTTTAATCCATTCTTTCAGGACTTGCACTTCGTTGAGGGCTCCCTGATGGTGAACGGCTGAAAGGAAAAGAATCCACAGTTAACATTTCAGTAGTTGCTTGGGGATCACAAATACTGGAAAAAGCAACAGGAGTATACCCAGCCTCTGGCTCCCTTTAAGCACTCTTTTTTAATAAAATAACCAATCACTATTGGCAAAAGTTAAGGGGTTGATGATTTGGAGATAACACTTTTTTCTTTACTGTTATTTTTAAAATGAGATCACTGTAAGGCCATCAAAAGGGTACTACTTATAGTGACCTTCAAAGGGGCAAGATACTCCACTGTTCTGATACAGCAGCTTGTCAAAACCTGTCATGATGATCACTCAGCATTTATGAGCACTGATTCATGCCCCTGTGATTCTTTGACACTAAAGTTGTGAAATGAACTATTAAAGAATTCTAATTAGGAAAAAAATGCTGTTGATTCTGTCACTACACGTATTCTACACGTTAGTCTGTGCATACACACAGAGAGAGAAAACTATTTACTGACTTACTGGGGAAGAAGAAAATAATCTAACAGCAGTGAACGTAACAGGCTCCATTTTCCATTCTGCTGTGCCAGGTTAGTCCACCCTACCATCACCAAAGTCAATGCAGCTTTTAATAAGACTGAAAGCTGATTTCCTACACTTATTCTGTGCTTTAAGCTCATCAGTCTCTGTGCAATAAAACTGTCAGTGAACCAAAAGGAACAGGGGAGCAGACAAGGACAAGGCACTGCTACATAACCCTGAGGATTTATCACCATATATATGTATTACCATATAGAAAAGCCACAACCACAACATTATTGCTCTGAAAGAGATCTCAGCAAAATACCTCTCCAGTATTTTCCTACAAGCAGCTGTCTAACTGCTCAGCAGAGATCAGTGCAGATACTAAAATGCCAGCTCTGTGGAGTCTATGCTGTTAGTAGGGAGACCAACGTACCTTCTCTTTGGAGATGGTGACCGGGACTTTGACCGGCTGTCAAAACAGAACAGCATCAATGCAACTTTTATATTTTAAAAAAACCCCAACCTATCAGAAAGTAAATTATAGGAATCTAGCCAGAAGGTCCTTCCAATAGTAGTTTTCAGTTCAACATTTACTCTGACAGGGATTCTCCATTCATTTAGCGTGGAGATGCATTTTAAGTAACTTTCCTCAGCAGACAAAGAGAAAAACAAGGGGTGGTACTAATGTGAGGCTTTGAGAAAAGCAACATCACCAGATTGCTGTTTTATGAAAAGCATTAACAAAACTCAAGCTCTTTATCTGATAAATAGAAAAAAATAACAGAACTGAGCACAAAGGCACAAAAAATTAGTACTATGTTGGAAATTATGACGAGTTAATGAAAACCAAGAGGACGGGTAAGGAACACCTTCCAAAGAGCTGCAGAGGAAATGTTATCATTTCTGTCATATCACAAAGAGATTAGCTGAGGACCCATGTTTGGGGGGTATTTTTTTCAAGGACCAGGCTCTGTTAATCATGCAAACTTAAAACTGAAATGCTACTGCAGGCTCTCTGTGTGCTCACCTCTTAGCTGGTGAGCCAGACTTTGATCTGCCATGAGACCTAGACCTGCAAGAAAAAACACAGCTCAGCAGGGAAACCGACAGCATGCAGGTTCCCACTCAGTGGGTGAGCACTGTCATGCTCAATACACAGAATCCTGCAAGTTTCCAGGGTTTTGCCTGTTAAGTTTCCAAAGATGCTGCTGTACATGTTGCTCTGTACTTTGGTCCCTAGCTGATGACCAGTGTTTGCTGATGCAAATGGCAGGAACACAGGAGCAACCCAAATCCTGACCAGTATTTTCACAGAGTTAATAAAAAGCCATGCTCTAAACTTGCAGGTTTTATTAGACTCTCTGTGAAGTTCATCTTATATATTTACTTGCTTCAAGTATTTTTTTTTTAATGTTTAAACTTAATCCATATGAAAAAAATGTGGAAAACATCCACCTTTGAGACCGCTGCACCACAGGAATGCTAATACTGCCTGAAAGCCTCACCAACATTTTGTGGTCCCCCAAGGAAGTGTTCTAGATTCCACATCCAAGGTTTTCCACAACAATTTCCAGATGTGCGTTGTGACACTGTCAAACCAGCAAATGTCATGTCCTCATTTAGTCTGTCTCCCTTGTGAACCCAGAGACTGTCTCTGGGTGCAATGCATTCCCTGGACTCTTCTCTAAAGAAATAATCTCTCAATTACATAAGAACAATTCTTCTGCCATTTCTGTCTAGTTGTACATCTGTAATTTCCTATGCCTCAGTCGCTTAATCCCTACTTACAATGGAAAGTGTCACTCAAAAGTCTAGAAATGTCACTGCAAGTATCATTTACTCTGCAGAAAACCACCCTGATACCAAAAAGAGGAAACAACGGTGGTAAAATCAAGATGCTTTCCTCTTTGAGAGTCTGCTGACTGTAGCTGTTTCCTGCTCACCACTGACAGTGAACAGTGATAAGCCATGCTTAAGTCATGATGGAACAACAATGTGGTTTAGCCATAGGTGTACCCAGAGGTATTGGGAGAAAGGCACTGCTCTACTGCCTTGGACAACCTTCTCCTCTCTTTATCAGCTTCTGGACTTTGTGTGAGTTTCTGCTCTTAATTAAGCCATCTGGTCTTCATCTCTCCTTTCCCTTAAAACTCCCATTACTGCTTGCTGTCCATCCTCAAAAAATGCCACCTTCAGCTGTGGGCTTTTCCACCTGCTCCCTTTAGCTGAAGCTATCCTGTATTTTCCTGTGTTTCTTCATGGTTGGCTATTCCTTGTTTCAAAGAGCAGCCATTAAAACCAGCACAGCAGGCACAGGGACAGGCTGGGCTATAAGCAGTTCCATATCCAGAGCAGAATTTCCATTTTCTCTTGTTCTTGTCAAGGACACTCAGTCAGCCCTGCTGCCAGGACAAGGTTCCATGAAGCACAGGTTGTACCCACTTACTAGCAAGTAAAGTTTAAGGGAACAAATAGCACCCTGCGTTCCCTTAAAATTTGACTTTTACTCTTGTGATACGTTTATTGGTACAAAACAATTCTGACAGGTGTTTATCTCAAATTAAAAATCAGCAGACTCACACTGATATTCAACAGAGCTGGAATTGCAGCTACAACACTCAGGACACCAGCAAGCCCTTCAAGACTTGTTTGCCTACAGACAATAAAGCATTATCATGCTACTAGAAGGACATCCTGCTTTCTTTGAAAAATAATGGGAAGAACTGACAATCTTGTGTGTGCTACACAAAGGAAAATAAACTTTTGAGATTAATGCTACGTTAGTTAGCAGTTAATGCAACTTGATCAAACCAGTATTTGTGATGACTATGGGGATCTAGATACTGGCAGTGTGCAAAAGAAGAGGAAGAACAATCTTCTGCACTGCTCCTTAGAACTACAGATCCCTAAGTTAGTGGAGGGAAAACACATCTTTTCCTGGGAAAAAACCTTAGCAATTGTTGAAGAGCCTAATGAGACTTTTAAGCAACTTTCACCAACGATCTTTAGTCACATACCTGCTTCGGGGCCATGTAACAGATCTGGATCTAGATCTTGATCTTGATCTAGACCTGAAATTAAAAATTGGGATAAATTAAAAGTAAGTAAACTTAAGCAGAAGTGATGACAATTACAGCATGATAAAAATTAACGTCTACACCTAAACTTGAGACCTACATGATCGCAGACTACATGATCATTAGATATTTGGCAAAGAAATTCAGTCATGGGAGATGCTGCTGTCTCAAGGTAAGGTCTTGAAAGTCATTAACGAACCTGTGAATTTAACTAAAATTATCAGAAATTTTTAATCCATGCTGATTCCTAGAGGTCAGCATCTTCGAAAATCAGCTACCCACTATCTCTTAGAACTGAATTAAAACAAGAAAACATCACAAAAACAAATCATCCAGCCTTTTAAAAATTACTACTAATTACCTCGATCTCTTCAAGGAACCCGAGCGGGACCGGCGGGGAGACACGGACCTAGACCTACGAGGAGACACGGACCTGGACCTACGATAGGAAGCTGATCTGGACCTGCAGAGAAAGCAATTCCCAGAGTTGTTCAAGTGTAGCTTTTTCTGGGCAAAAGCAGGCAACGAGAATAAAAGAAAAACTCAAACACACCTCCTACCACGGCTGCGACTGCGTGACCGGGAATACCTTCTTCCACGGGACCTCGAGCGGGATCTAGACCGGGACCTGGGTTTAGGTTAGAAAAAACCAGTATCAGCAGACAGCTGCTGCACCCAGCACGTGTGAGGCCCTGCTGAAGTCAAAACTTTTTTCAGACAACTAAAAAGAGAATTTAAAAATAAAATAATAAAAGAAAAACCAAACCAAACAAAACAACAAAAACACACCACTAGCATCTGTCAGTTGGAAAAATGTCTGGGCCTACTTGTCTTGATCATTTTTACTACCTAGAAAAATGTTAAAGCTGAA